GTTTTCAGACTTTTTATTTAAGGCTTGTTGAGAAAGAGGGAAGGCAGAATGTTGTTAGCTAGCTATTATTATTTTATAATATGTTATGCAATAGGAATATTGAAAAAATAACATGTAGATATTAAAATGGTATGAAGATATGAACTATCAAATGGATAGTATTAGAATCAAAATTATGGAATTAGAATCTAGTGGCTTAGTTAATAGAATTCATAGATTATTAACATAGCTTTTCTTATCTAGTTCATAGATTGTGACAGACTTAATTCATTCTGGCTTTTTTCTACCATTTACCCACTTTCTAGGCTCAGTCCTGTTTCATTCACTCATGTGTTGATACATGTTTTAGATGCAAATTTATTTTGATACTAGAGGCCCGGTGCATGAAATTGTGCACAGGGGCGGGGAGGTCCCTCAGCCTGGTCTGCATCCTCTCCAATTTGGGACCCCTCAGGGGATGTCTTACTGCCTCTCAAAATCCGGGACCGCTGGCTCCTAACCACTCGCCTGCTTGCTTGCCTGCCTGCCTGCCTGATCACCCTTAACCCCTCTGCCTGCCTGTTTGATTGCCCTCAACCACCTCTGCCTGCCTGATTGCCCCTAACTGCTCCCCTACTGGCCTGGTTGCCCCTAACTGTTCCCCTGCTGGCCTGATTGCCCCTAACCACCACTGCCTCACCCTGTACCCAGGACCTAGGATTCCCTCCTTCTGGCCAGCCGCAGGCACCCAGGACCCGGGCCGGCTTCGCCTGGGCTGGCCGCAGCTGCAGGTGCCCGGGACCATGGGGCGGGTGGCTTGTTCCTCTCCTGAGCCGCAGCCCCAGCTGCTGCCGCCTGGGACTGCGGGGTGTGTGGCTTATCCCTCTCCCAGGCTGCAGCCTGGCTGGTCCCCATTCCTTTCTTGAAAGCTCATTTGTGCCTGGCTGGTCCCCATTCCTCTCTCCCCAGTGTTGAGTGTCTGAGTAGTTACTGCATGATGGCGTGAGGGCATGACAACTATTTGCATATTAGCTCTTATATAGGATATTTAATAAAAAAAGTTCATTTTGGAGGTATGATGAATTTATCTATTTATTTATCTTATTTGTTACTTGGATCATTGAGACCTGATTTTATATATGATTTTAATCTAATTTAACTCAATACTAAGTGTAATGTTCTGTAAATACGAAACAGTTTTCTTCTCATGAAATCAATATCAGGGTTGGAAGGTGCCTATCTCAAGTGTTCTTAAATTCTCTTTGTTATAACTTTGCTCTGGGTTGCTATCTGCTTAGACACTTTAAGTGATGTAAAACTATTTTGGGAGAGGGTAGGTTGTATAGCACAGATTGTTCTTATATTGCACTTAAATGTCTTTCTGAAACTTTTACCATCCTCCTTTTTTGCCATATAGAATATTAATACTCTTGCTTGTAATGATTTTAGGATACAACAATTTTTTGGAATATCAATCCTGAATGATAAATATATTAAGCCCTTGGACAGTTAGTCTGTTTAACAAAAATGCTCTTTTAGTGGTAGTATTTATTTAGTAAGTTAAAAGTATATAAAATGATAAATTAATGATTTTAAAAATACTGTGAACCTTTGAAAAATAATGTATTTATACTCACATATATGATCAAGAATTTTCTATAGTTGGTAGAAGTAATTTTATGAAAAGATAGAATGTACCACAAGAATTCAGGCAGGATTCCTATTTGTTCAGGATAAACTATTTTTAAATTAGTGAAGTTTCCATTTAGATCTGTTTGACTTTGTTAATTACTTGCTCAAATAGATTGTAATGTTAAGGCTCTGAGGATGCCTTTCTTAGAGTCTTTGTCACAGCTCCTGGGAAGCCCTAGCAATATTTTGGTGAGAGTTTTGGACAAGTGGAATGTGAGTACATCCTCAGAATAAAAGAATGCCAAGATTGATATGAAATTAGGGAAAATATAAAATAGACATTGTTGAAAAAGGAACACACTTTCTGAACCGAACAAGTATGTCCTGTTGACCTCTATTCACTTGAAAAATTAGTTGTTTTTTTGTTTTGTTTAAAATCAACTTTATTGAAGTATCTATATACTAGAGGCCCAGTGCATGAAATTTGTGCACGGGTAGGGTCCCTAGTGGCTGCTCGCTTCCGGCCGGGGTCTCCTTTCCCTGGCTGCCAGCTGCCAGCCGGGGCCTTCCTAAATTGCATGCTGCCCCCTGGTGATCAATGCACGTCATAGTGAGCGATTAAACTCCCAGTTGGTTGAACTCCTGGGGGGACACTTTGAATATTAGGCTTTTATATATATACTAGAGGCCTGGTGCACAAAATTTGTGCACTGGTAGGGTTCCTAGCGGCTGCCAGCTGGGTACTCCCTCCCTTGCCCGGCTGCCTGCTGCTGCCTGCCGCCACTGCTGCCGCTGCCACTGCTGCTGCTGCTGCTGCTGTTACCACCACCGGCTGGGGCCTCCCTCCCTTCCCCCGGCCGCCTGCCAGTGCCAGGGCTTCCCTCCCTTCCCCGGGCCACCTGCCGCCACCACTGGCCAGGGCCTCCCTCCCTTTCCCTGGCCACCTGCCAGCACCACCAGCTGGACCCTCCCTCCTTTCCCCCAGCCGGCCTGTCCCCTGGTCGAACTCCCAGAGGAACCCCGGTTGAGGGGACAATTTGCCTACTATGCTTTTATTATATAGGATAGATATAAAAGCGTAATATGCAAATTGACTGGATGGCGGAATGACCAGTCGCTATGATGTGCACTGACCACCAGGGGGAGACGCTCAATGCAGGCGCTGTCCCCAGCCCGCAGACCCCGATTGCCTGATTGGGGCCTGCTGGCCAACCTCTTGGTCTCTCCTCTGGCTGTCAGGCTTCGATTGCCCGTTGGGGAATGGGGACCTGGGGGTGGGTGGCAGCAGACATGGGCAGTGCCAGGCCAAGGCGGGTGCAAGTGAGTGGGCCCCCGATTGCCCTGCCAGTTCCCCTACACACAGAGGGTGACCGGTGGTGGGGAATGAGGCCGGCCAGTGGCAGGAACGGCCAACCTCTTGGTTCTTCCCCCCAGCTGGCAGGCTCTGATTGCCTGTTGGGAAACGGAACCAGGGTTGGGTGGCGGCAGACATGAACGGCGCCAGCCTGAGATGGGTGCGATGAGTGGGATCCCGGTCACCCCGAGGGTCACTCCACACACAGAGGGCAACCAGCATTGGTGGCAGGGGGTTAGGGCTGGCTGCCAGCAGCTGGGGAAGATGGGCCCTGATCGCAGGCCATGCCTAGGGACTCAACCTGTGCACAAATTTTGTGCGCCGGGCCTCTAGTCCTCTATAATAAAAGGCTAATATGCAAACCGACAGAACGGCAGAATGATTGGTCACTATGATGCGCACTGACCACAAGTGGGCAGATGCTCAACGCAGGAGCTGCCCCCTGGTTGTCAGTGCGTTCCTACAGAGGGAGCGCTGCTCAGCCAGAAGCCCTGAGCCAGGGTCACGGCGAGCGCAGTGGTGGTGGTGGCGGGAGCCTCTCCCGCCTCTTTGGCAGTGCTAAGCCATCAGTCGGACATCCCCCGAGGTTCTCCCAGACTGTGAGAGGGCGCAGGCTGGGCTGAGGGCCCCTCCCCCCGAAGTGCACAGTTTTCATGCACTGGGCCTCTAGTTATTTATATAAAATAAAATACACTCATTTTAAGTGTGTTGTTGATAAATCTATACACTTTTGTAACCACCATTCAAATCAACATACAGAAATTTCCATTGTAGCAATAAGTTCCTTCATACTTTGCTCTTCTTATCTCTTTACTTGTTGATAGACATTTAGGTTTTTTTTCCAATTTGGGGTTATTTTGAATAAAGCTGCTATGGACATTTGTGTCCAGTTATTTGGACATATGTTTATGTTTTCATTTCTTTTAGAGTGGGATTTTGAATCATAGGATTTTTGTATATTTAACTTTATTAAAAAATCTCCAGTTTTCCTAAGTAATTGTACCACTTTGTACATTCAACAGCAATGTATGAGAGTTCCAGTACTTCACATCCTGTTAATATTTGGAGGTTGGCTAATTGAAAACTGGGTCAGGGTCATTGATAGAAATTGTGTTATGTGTAGACTTTTATAGAAATTATAACAGATACTTGATATACTTTAAAAGTTTAGTAATGATAGCTCATTTTGTACCATTTATTGTACATCTCCTATGTGCCAGAAAGTGTGTTAATGATTTTACATACATTATAATCTATAATCCTTAAAACAATTCCGTAAGATAGAATATATTATCTTTATTTCACAGATAGGAGTTCTGGACTACTAATATTAGGCTTAAGATTTGATTTTAAGTTTGCTTCGAAACCCTAGTTTCTTTACTTAATTTCACTTCAACATTTTGGTCCTACCCTCTCTTTTATAGAACTAGAATGAGTATGATTTCAATTAATACCATGGTCTTTTAGGGTTTCCAAATTTAATTGAGGGAGATCCAAAGATAGTTATGAGTTAGAAGCACCCAGGGAAAAATAAAGGATTGAAATGTTGTGTGTATGTGTGTTTTCAAACGAAAGAGCATGTATCTCTCAGATGTTAAGTATCTAATATAGATGCCATTTTCCCATGTATTATCTTAATTTGAGTTGTGAAAAGAAGGGGAAAATGTCAAAGCTTCAGAATTACTATGGAGGGAAGATAGGTAGTGGTACTAGTGTGTTTATTATTTCCAAGCTAAGTAGTTGTTCTTGGAATGATCTTGTTTTACCATGTAGGAATCAGCCCATTGGCATTTATTTTTAAATATATTTTAGACAATTACTATTTAATTTTCTATAGCTAGAGTTGTGTCACAGCTACTAGATTGAATTTTAGAGCAGAATTTTTGTATGAAAGGTTTGGTCAATATATTTCTCAATATATAGACAAATTGAGTGAAACAGTCCACATTTTGCAGATTTTTCTATTTAACAAAATAATTGTTTAACATTTGGAACCTTTAAATTTCATTTTTCCTTTTTCCATCTCATTTTGCAGACATTTCAACTTACGAATGAAGAGGGACACTTCCCTTTTTAGTGATGAATTTAAAGTAGAAACATCAAATAAAGTACTGGATTATGATACCTCTCATATTTACACTGGACATATTTATGGTAAGTTGAATCTTTAAGAACACTTTCTTTAAATTTTTTCTACACAAAGAAATATTTCAGAAAAGAAGGGATAAATTCTGAGGTGGTTTGAATATATATCAGGAAGGGTATATTTGTCTTTGAAGAATGAAGTAATCCTTGGATCTATCTTTGCATGTTTGTTTAATGTTGAATTATGCTGAGTCTGGCTTCTGAAAGTTTTGAATTTTTGACTCTCTCAATACCTCCAAACTTAGATTTAAAAATTTTTTTAATGACTTCTATAATTTTTTGATCATCCAAACAAGAAATTAGCAGTAACTTTGCTATGTTTTATAACAAGAGGAAAAATCTAAAAGGAAACTGTAAAGATCATCTTAACCAAAAATAATGTGACAGTCATTGATAGGAAAATCCTCCTAAGGCCTTCCTCTTTACAATGTATTTGCTTTTGTTTACAATTCTAACAAATATCTCCTACTACATAGACCAGATTATAAAGGTATTGGAGGGGTGGGGAACACACACATTGTTTTATTTTATTTTTTGACACGCACATCTAACCCAATAGAAAGTTACACTTGACAGCTTAGTAGTTTGGGAAGAACACAATAATTATAGAAGTCATAAAAAAGCTTAAAAAGTCAGTCTTTTGGAGGTATTAGAGAAAGGCAAAATATCATTGTGTTGTAACTTTGTACATTAATAAATACTCAAGGTGGTCTTCAGTTTTTAAAACAAAGTTAACTAAAAGTTAAATTTTTTTTCTATATATTAGATTTCCAATCAATATTATAACATGAAAAATCAAGTGCTTAAAAAAGTGTTTTTTATTTTTTCATTATGCCAGATACATGAGGCATTTCTATGCTTAAAGTTTCTTACTTTTAGAAAAAACCTTAACTATTTAATAAAAATATTTTTGTATTCTTACTATTTTTTTAAAGTATTTGTTTTTCAGAGAGGAATGGAGAGGGAGAGAGAGAAACATCAATGATGGGGAATCATTGATAGGCTGCCTCCTGCACGCCCCCTACCCAGGCACGTGCCCCGACTTGGTATTGAACCAGCAACCTTTTGGCACAAAGCATGATGCTCAAACAACTGAGCCACATAGGCCAGGGCTAGGTTTTTAATGTTAGAATACAATTTTCTATTATTTTTATTATTATTTATCTTTCTGGACAAGTAACTTACAGTCTCTGCTTTTTTTGGCTAGGCAGTGGTCAAGAAAAGTATGACAGCTTACAGATAAAAACCATGCCATTTAAAATATCAGTGTCTTGGGCTCTTACCTTCAGTTCATGATTATTTCAGAGGTCAACTAATTGATTTTAATCTATAACTTAGAAATTGTAGAAAGCCTGACTTTTGTTTTAATGAGAAAATTTTAAGTAAATTCAACTTTTAAAGCCCCCTCCTTCTACCTTCTATTTCTTCAAATATTTGATGGTTAGTGCTCATCTTTGTGACTATATTAAGAACCAAAAATACCTTTTTTTCTGTTTTGTTCTTTCACTAGGGAAGTATAATTGATGGGACAGAATTATAAATCTTTGTCCAGTATCATAAAAGAAATTGTTGGCATACTTCTGTTCAGATTGCTTTTGAAATATTTGACACTATCTTATTTAAGAAACATATTTATAAAACCTAAAGGTGGTAAGGAAGCCACATGGCTCATGCAGAATATATCAGATTGGAAAAGAGCTTTTTTTCTTATAGTAATTAGAGCCAAATTTCAAAAGAAACTTTAATATCTTTATTTTGAAAGTGTTTATTTTGTCAGTGGGTCTATTTAAGTTAATTTAATAATTATTCATTGATTAACTACTACTGCATACATGCCAGGCACTGTGCTAGGTGCTGGGAATTTGTCAATAAGACAGATGTTTTATTTCATTGTTGTTCCTAATAATTGTGTACATTTTAATAAATACTAGTTGCTATTCACATCTCAAACTCAGTTTGATATATTTTATTTTAAAATTCATTTTCCCAGTGAATATATATATATATATATATATGAATAGCTTTTTTAAAAAAAATGAATTTAGGCAAATTATTCTAAAGATTTAGAATAATCTGTGTCCTACTCATTTAGAATAGTCTGTGTCCTACATTCTAGGCAAATTAAATTTTCAAGAGTTTGTTGCTTTCATTAATAGGTGAAGAAGGAAGTTTTAGCCATGGGTCTGTTATTGATGGAAGATTTGAAGGATTCATCCAGACTCATGGTGGAACATTTTATGTTGAGCCAGCAGAGAGATATATTAAAGACAGAACTCTACCTTTTCACTCTGTCATTTATCATGAAGATGATATTAGTAAGTACTTAATTTTTATCAAGTAGCCTTTTGCAAAAAGACATTTAAATAAAGCTATGTGGAGACAAGTGAAGCTTGAGCTGTTTTCTTTCCTTAGCTTATTAATCAGACTAGAAAATAGTTCACAACCAAAGTTTCAATTTAATGAATAACAGATCTATAGTACAGTGATGCAATTTCCTTACCAATCCATGCTAGTCCTACTTTGTTGATATGATGCAATCACTTCTATTTGAACTGTAAGTTAACCAATTTTGATTGAACTGGAAATCCTATATTCTGATACCAGCTCGTCATTTAATGCTATAATGCCTTTGTGTCTGTGTCCTACTCAAGCATCATTAGCTTCTTATGTAAATTTCAGTGTGGATATTTGTAGTGATTAAGAAATGTTTTAGGTATTTTTTAAAATTTCTAAGTTGAGATTTTCTTTTTGGAATCTTGAAATAATGATTTCAGTTTGGTAAGATTCCAGATATATCATTATGGATTTTGTCCTCTACCATGGTCTTTTATATGATGGTGATTTGTTGGGAAAGTTCTTTTTCTGTGTTTTAAGAGTAGAAAATGTATTTAAACTTCATCTTTTAATTTCCACCATTGTCTATGAATTCATAGTCATCTAATCATGAGAATACTTTAATGAAATACCACAGAAATTCATTCCTCTGATTATATGCCTCTTGAATAATCATATTTTATTTTTGACTGTAATTTGATTAGTCTCTCAATTTTTGGTGGTTTTTAAAATTTGGCAGCTTCCTTCTAGTTTCATTTTCCTTTCTATAGTCAGGAATTTATTGTCAATAATAATATTCTCATTCTCATTCCTAGTAATGTACTGGAAAGCCTTAACCATTTTGACTTTTTGTTCCATCAGCTATTCTTGCTTTTTTTCTGATCCTCTATTACTACAGAAAATAGCATAATTATTTTAGATGGGATACATTTATGATTTTAGCTGCTTGCTAAATCTCAAATTTATTAATGCTATTTACCCACATTTTTTTAAAAAATTAAATCTTTATTGTTCAGATTATTACAGTTGTTCCTCTTCCCCCTCCCCTCTCCCATAGCTCCCCTCGAACCGGTTCCCACCCCACCCTCTGCCCTTACCCCCCCACCCCACTGTCCTCATCCATAGGTGTACAATTTTTGTCCAGTCTCTTCCCGCGCCTCCCACACCCTTCTCCCCACCCCCCCCCGAGAATAGTCAGTCCACTCCCTTTCTATGCCCCTGATTCTATTATATTCACCAGTTTATTCTGTTCATCAGATTATTTATTCACTTGATTTTTAGATTCACTTGTTGATAGATGTGTATTTGTTGTTCATAATTTTTATCTTTACCTTTTTCTTCTTCTTCCTCTTCTTAAAGGATACCTTTCAGCATTTCATATAATACTGATTTGGTGGTGATGAACTCCTTTAGCTTTCTCTTATCTGTGAAGCTCTTTATCTGACCTTCAATTCTGAATGATAGCTTTGCTGGGTAAAGTAATCTTGGTTGTAGATTCTTGCTATTCATCACTTTGAATATTTCTTGCCACTCCCTTCTGGCCTGCATTGTTTTTGTTGAGAAATCAGCTGACAGTCGTATGGGTACTCCCTTGTAGGTAACTGACTGTTTTTCTCTTGCTGCTTTTAAGATTCTCTCTTTGTCTTTTGCTCTTGGCATTTTAATTATGATGTGTCCTGGTGTGGTCCTCTTTGGATTCCTTTTGTTTGGGGTTCCCTGCACTTCCTGGACTTGTAAGTCTATTTCTTTCAGCAGGTAGGGGAAGTTTTCTGTCATTATTTCTTCAGATAGGTTTTCAATATCTTGCTCTTTCTCTTCTTCTGGCACCCCTATAATTCGGATGTTGGTATGCTTGAAGTTGTCCCAGGGGCTCCTTACACTGTCTTCATATTTGTGGATTCTTTTTTCTTTTTGTTTTTCCGGTTGGGTGATTTTTGCTTCTTCGTATTTCAAATCTTTGACTTGATTCTTGCGATCCTCTAGTCTGCTGTTGGAATTCTGTATAATATCCTTTATTTCAGTCAGTGTATGCTTAATTTCTAGTTGGTCCTTTTTCATATCCTCGAGGGTCTCACTAGATTTATGGAGGGTCTCACTAAATTCATCGGTGGTTTCTAGAAGATTCTTGAGTAACCTTATAACCGTGGTTTTGAACTCTATATCTAGTAGTTTGCTTTCCTCCATTTCTATTATTTGTGACCTCTTTCTTTGTCTCCCCATTTTTTATGCTTCCCTGTGTTGATAGAGTGGCTTTCTATGCTAGGTGTCCTATAGGGCCCAGTAGCTCAGCCTCCCCAATTACCTGAGGTGGACACTCTTGGTGCACCCCTTTGTGGGCTGTGTGCACAGTCTTGTTGTAGTTAAACCTTGATTGTTGTAGGTATCACTGGGAAGAATTGACCTCCAGGCCATTTGGCTGTGAGAATGAGCTGTGTCTATGGTGGGAGAACTTTTGTGCTGGAGACACCCTTCTGGGGCAAGACTTGCTTCAGTTGGGGCTTTGGTGCTCACTGAGTCTGCCCCCTGAGTGTGTCCCTTATGGATCTGAGGAGTTGTAATGTTGATGGTCCCACTCTGACCACTGGGTACACTTGCACTTGGATCTCTAAGGAGGTGCTAATTTAGCCTCTGCCTGAGGCTACCCAGCAGGAGCTACGGAGAGATCTGCAGATTCCTCCTCTTGTTTGGGGTTTGGAGGTCCCCAGATTAGGGCCAGCTGTGAAGTAGTGCGAGCTGCTGTGGGGCCTTGGGCCTTCTTTTGGATGTTCTGGGTCTCTCTGACCCAGCTGTAGTTTGTTAGGTAATTTTAGATCTCAAAGGGCCAGGTCATTCATATGCAAAAGCTAGCAGCTTGGATGGGGCGGGGTCTCAGAGAATGAACAGGGCAGAGCAAACAGCTATGGCTGATCCTCAGCCCTGCCCTAAGAGGTTCCGGGCTCAGTGTTCCATCTCAGTGTCCCGTGCTAATTGCTGCAAGCACCTCTGAGAGAAATCCGCCCTCGAGTTCCGACTGATGCCGGACAGTCCAGTTTCTCCCCGTATGAGTCTGGGTCCCCAGAGACTCGCCCGGAACTGGAGTTCAGAGCCATCGGGAGCTTGTGACTTTCTCCTGATTGAAAAAGACACCGGCGTCCTCCATTGCCAACCCTTGCTGTGTGCGCCTCCGTACCTCTGCACTTTACTTCCACACCTCTTCTGAGTCTCAGGGTGCTTTTCTCTTTCCTTCTCGTTGTAGAATTTCCACTCAGCCAGCCTTCCTGTAGTTCTGGATGATGTTCGTTTTGTCTTTTAATTGTGTTTTTGAATTGGTTCTGCGAGGCAGCAATTTCAGGTGTTTACCTATGCCACCATCTTGGTTTCTCCTTACCCACATTTTTTTTTAATCCTCACCCAAGGATATGCTTCTTTTAAAACAATATTTTAAAAATTGATTTCAGAGATGAAGAGAGAGGGAGAGCGAGATAGAAACATCAATGATGAGAACGAATCATTGATTGGGTGCCTCCTGGGGCCTGCTGGGAATTGAGCCTGCAACCCAGGCATGTACCCTTGACTGAAATTAATCCTGGACCCTTCAGTCTGCAGGCCGACGCTTTATCCACTGAGCCAAACTGGCTAGGGCCAAGGATATGTTTTTTAATTGATTTTAGAGAGCGAGGAAGGTAGAGGGAATGAGAAACACTGATCTGAGAGAGAAACATCAATTGGGTACCCTCGCTCCCCCCCCCACCCCCCCACCACACACACACACACACACACACACACACACACACACACACACACACACAATACATGTCCTGGAAGCAAACCCAGGACTCTTCAGTGCATGGGACAATGCTCCCACCAATTGAGCCACACCTGTCTGGGCTTATTTACCCATATTTTTACTCATCTTTATTTGATTTCCTTTCCAACTTCCTCTCCTGATATTTCAAACTCTCCTTGATCTCTAAGCTGTAGTCCTCCTTCACAAATTGGATTATGAATTCCTTTATTTCTGCCAACAGAATTATTACTATTTGATTTGTATGTTACTTTGTAATTTTCTTAGTAATTTAATCTTTTTTCTTTTTTTTTTAATCCTCACCCGAGGATATTTTTTCATTGATTTCAGAGAGAGTGGAATAGAGAGGGAAAGACAGAGAGAAATATTGATGTGAGAGAAACACATCGATTGGTTGCCTCCTGCATGAGCCCTGACCAGGGCCTGGGCTGGGAAGGAGCCTGTAACTGAGGTGTACGTGCCCTTGACCGGAATTGAACCCGGGACCCTTCGGTCTGAAGGCCGATGCCCTAGTAATTTAATCTTTTTGCAGAGTTACGTTCCCTGTCCAGTATATGTAAGTTCTCTAACTGCAGTTTCTGTTTTTTTTTTTTTTTTTTTTTTTTTCTTCTTTAACATTCCAAATATTATTTATGTTTGGATCAGGTTCTTCACAGACACATAATGAAATCTTGAAACATTTTGCCTGCAATGTTTTCTCAAAATTAAACAGGCCTTTTGGGAAAGGAAGGAGAGGAAAAGAGTAATATAAAAGATTTCAAACTCAACTTTATCCTCCCATCATATTTTAATCAAACTTTTTCGTTTGTTTTATACTTCCCACAAGTGCCCTCCACTATGTTTGTTCTTTCTTTTATGGTTTATTTTATTGCATTTTCTCTCTCTTGTTTCTCTCCTCTTATCTAGTTGTATGTATAGTAGTTTAAGCATATTCTGTTCTTTTTCCCCTCTTTTATTTCTTCCTCATCATATAATTGTATTTGACCACTTTGCATCTTACTGTCTTTCAACTACTCTCCTTTATGTCAGCCTTTCTTTCTCCCCCAAAGATAATGAGTTTACTTGGAGGATCAGTGACATTGGATGTGACTTTCTATCTATCTCTTTTGGCATTTAACTTTACCATTGACTTCAGCTCTTTAATTTTTATTGTCTAAGTAAATCTGTATTCAAAGAAAGGAGGCTGTTTCATGTTAT